TTACCTTATTCCTAGTATATATCCTATACAGTATAATAATAAGACATTATCTGTTACATTGTATAATAATAAGGTATTAAAAGGACCCAATGGAAATACTGTAAGTCACTTTGACTGTTTTGGGTTATCCCAGGTTATCTATACATATGCTGCTATGTATGATACTCTATGTAACTGTATTTGTGTATACCTGAATAAACTTACTTACTTGACAGTCATGCATCAAACCTTGTTGACAGTCATGTACCAAACCTTATTGACAGTCATGCATCAAACCTTGTTGACAGTCATGCATCAAACCTTGTTGACAGTCATGTACCAAACCTTAATGACAGTCAGGCATCAAACCTTGTTGACAGTCATGCATCAAACCTTGTTGACAGTCATGTACCAAATCTTATTGACAGTCATGCATCAAACCTTGTTGACAGTCATGTACCAAACATTTGACAGTCATGCACAAACCTTGTTGACAGTCATGTCCAACCTTGTGACAGTCATGCACCAAACCTTGTTGACAGTCATGCATCAAACCTGTTACGTCATGCACAAACCTTGTTGACAGTCATGCATCAAACCTTGTTAACAGTATGCACCAACTTGTGACAGTCATGCCAAACCTTGTTGACAGTCATGCATCAAACCTTGTTGACAGTCATGCATCAAACCTTGTTGACAGTCATGTACCAAACCTTATTGACAGTCATGCATCAAACCTTGTTGATAGTCATGCATCAAACCTTGTTGACAGTCATGTACCAAACCTTATTGACAGTCATGCATCAAACCTTGTTGACAGTCATGCACCAAACCTTGTTGACAGTCATGTACCAAACCTTATTGACAGTCATGCATCAAACCTTGTTGACAGTCATGTACCAAACCTTGTTGACAGTCATGCATCAAACCTTGTTGACAGTCATGCATCAAACCTTGTTGACAGTCATATACCAAACCTTGTTGACAGTCATGCATCAAACCTTGTTGACAGTCATGCATCAAACCTTGTTAACAGTCATGCACCAAACCTTGTTGACAGTCATGCATCAAACCTTGTTGACAGTCATGCATCAAACCTTGTTGACAGTCATGCATCAAACCTTGTTGACAGTCATGTACCAAACCTTGTTGACAGTCATGCATCAAACCTTGTTGACAGTCATGCATCAAACCTTGTTGACAGTCATGCATCAAACCTTGTTGACAGTCATGCATCAAACCTTGTTGACAGTCATGCATCAAACCTTGTTGACAGTCATGTCCCAAACCTTGTTGACAGTCATGCATCAAACCTTGTTGACAGTCATGCACCAAACCTTGTTGACAGTCATGCATCAAACCTTGTTGACAGTCATGTACCAAACCTTGTTGACAGTCATGTACCAAACCTTGTTGACAGTCATGCACCAAACCTTGTTGACAGTCATGCATCAAACCTTGTTGACAGTCATGCATCAAACCTTGTTGACAGTCATGACTCAAACCTTGTTGACAGTCATGCACAAACCTTGTTGACAGTCATGCATCAAACCTTGTTGACAGTCATGCATCAAACCTTGTTGACAGTCATGCATCAAACCTTGTTGACAGTCATGCATCAAACCTTGTTGACAGTCATGCATCAAACCTTGTTGACAGTCATGCATCAAACCTTGTTGACAGTCATGCATCAAACCTTGTTGACAGTCATGCATCAAACCTTGTTGACAGTCATGCATCAAACCTTGTTGACAGTCATGCATCAAACCTTGTTGACAGTCATGCGTGTAACTGAAACCTTTGACAGATGATAACCTTGGCGTTAGTCATGATCAACCTTTACAGCTGTAACTTATTGAGTCTGTTTGTTGACTAAACACCTTTGTTGACATCATGATCAAACTTTGTGATCATGCATACTTGTGAGCTGTACACCTTGTTGGTGTCAGCATCAATTGTTGACATATGTAAACTTGTTGCTGTTATACCAACTTGTTGCGTTTAACTTTTGAGTCATGATAAACTTGTTGTTGCAGTCTAACTCATTGTTGAGTATGTTAACTGTGTTGTTTGAGTTGTAAACTGTTTGATAGCATGCATATCTTGGTTGACAGTCTGTCTTAGTTTGAGTATGATAACTTGTTGTGTCAGCTAACGCTGTGTTGACTTATGTTAAAATGCTTTGGTTTGTTTGCATTAAACCTTGTGTGCTATGATAAACGCTTGTTGTTCTTATGTTAAACTGCTTTTGATGTTGATAAACTTGTTGAAGTTTACAACCTTGTGTTGCATATGATCAACGCTTGTGTTGCTTGATTAAACCTTGTTGATGTTAACTAACCTGTTGAAGTATGACATTAACTGTTTGGTCGTTGTAACTGTTAACTGCATGATTGTTTGACATTGTTAACTGTGTTGATGTTTGATGTAACTGTTTGTGTGCATATGATCAACCTTGGTTGCAGTGATGTATAAACGCTTGTTTGTTGTATGTTAACGCTTGTTGTAAGTATGTAAACTGTTTGGATGTATGTAACTTGTTTGCATCATGTTAACGCTTGTGTGACGTTGATTTCAAACGCTTGTGTTGCGTTGATGTTACACATGCTTGTGTTGCTAGATGTTACACATGCTTGGTGTTGCTTATGTTCAACCTTGTTGTTGTACAAACTTGTTAACTGCCTTGTGGTTGCTGATGTTAACAGCTTGTGATTGTTTGGTATGCTAACTGCTTGTGTTGCTGATGTTAACCTTGGTTGTGTTTGTACTGTTTGATGTTAACTGCAATCTGTTGTTGTTGATATGATAAACTGCTTGTTGCAGTTGTCATTGTTGATGTTACATGCTATGGTGTTGATGTTGTTAACGCTTGGTTGACATGATGATTAACGCTTGGTGTTAGTCTTGATTAACCTGTTGGTTTGTCCCTTGATGTACACTGCTTTGTTGTTAGTCATGTTAACCTTGTGTTGCATGATGTCAAACTGTTTGGTTGTTGATTGATTTAACTGCTTGGTTGTTGCTTGAATGTTAACGCTTGGTGTATGTATTGATGTTAACTGCTTGGTGTTGCTTGATTTAACTGCTTTGTTTGTTTGATGTTAACTGCTTTGATGTTGCTTTGTGTTAACTGCTTTGTGTGCTTGTTGATGTTAACTGCTTGGTTTGCATGTTTACTACTTGCTTGGTGTAAGTTTGGATGTTAACTGCATTGTGTTGTTGATGTTAACTGTTGGTTGTTTCGTTACGTTTTGATGTTAACTGTGTGTGTGTTAATGTTTGAGTTTTGTGTTAACTGTGTTGTTGTGTGTTCTTTGTTTACTGCTTGGTGTTGCTTGATGTTAACTGCTTTGTGTTGTTTGATGTTAACTGCTTGGTGTTGCTTGATGTTAACTGCTTGGTGTTGCTTGATGTTAACTGCTTTGTGTTGTTTGATGTTAACTGCTTGGTGTTGCTTGATGTTAACTGCTTGGTGTTGCTTGATGTTAACTGCTTGTTGTTTGATGTTAACTGAACGGTGATGTTTGATGTTAACTGCTTGAGTTAACTTTGTGTTGTTGTGTTAGCCGTTTTGTTGTTTTAATGCTTGGTGTTGCTTGTTAACTCCTGGTTGGATGTACCTGCTTATTGTTATGAATAGTGACACTGCACTGCTGCGATGTTGACATTGAACACTGAAAGGAAGAATGTTAACTGCTTGATGTTGATTTAACGATACGGCAGACAGTTATGAGATACCATAACGTGAGTGTTCATTTTGTAACTGCTGTGCTATGAAGTTAACGCATGGTTTTGAGTAAACTACCCTTGAGGTAGGGTTCATGTAACCTTGTTAGATTGTGTTAGTTAGATGCTGATTGGTGAAGGTTAACTGACCTTAGAACCGCTTGTTAATGTTACCCGTGGATGGTTCTATTGTTAACAGAACTGTGTGTTGACTGTAAGGGGGTTGCTTGATGTTAAACCAGGTTGGTGAAGTTAACTCGCTGGGTGTGCTAGAAGTTATTGCATTGTTGATTTCAACACTGGTGTTGCTGAGAACTGCTTGTGTGTTGAGTTAATGCTTGGTGGCTTATGTACAAGCTTGGGGTTGTTTGTGTTGTGTTAAGCTGGTGGTGTTAGAAGACCTGGGGCTTAGGAAGAGTTGGGTTGATGTAATGGCCGGGTGCTATGTAATGTGGTTGATTGAGAAGACTTGGGAGAGTAAGGGGCGAGTTGATGGTTACAGTGGAGTGCTGTGAGTTAGAGATGGTGTTTGTGTGGTGTACGAGCTGTGGTATGTGTTGGATGTTTGTGGTGGATCGAGCAGTGGTGTGTGATTAAAGTGATGGATTTACAAATTTAACCTACTTAGATAAAATTGTGACGACGTTGTCGTCCTATTTGACCATTTTGTTCTTGTTTTTCATTAAATAAAGCTGGGTGCATCAACAATGTGGTGTTGCCCTTTTCTTTATGACAGTTACAGAGTTGCATCTCCTCAATTCCATTACTCAGGATGGGTTTCGTGCATCAGGTATTGAAAACTGAGACTTCGGTAACGCGTGAGGATGTTGTCAAACCGATTTGCGATAAATCGTGCAGAATTTAGCTACACTGTTATATACATTTAGCAGGTTGGATACCTCGCTAAGCTACTTTGGTGCAAAAAAAAAAGAACTGCACATGACATTTACCAAATACATATATTAATGGAAAAAAGGAAAGAATCGGAATTTTTCTTGACAGTTCGGCATTTTTAATCAACTTTGATAAAAAAGTACGATTGTATGACAGTGAGAAGACGAGAAACAATTTTTTTTACTAGATAGATACCATAAAACTAACTCTTTAACCAACATTCGAAGGAAAACAAAAGCCTGACGCTGTTAGTGAATCTCGCAAAAACACTGTTAAAGTTGCCATGCTTTTTAGATGAGACATTAAATTTATACAGTTTTTCCCAGAGGTATTTACATTCTTTGTTTCAATCTTTCCCTAGCTGGCAAGCTGTGACTAATATTTAATTCCTTTTCCCACAGGCAGCGATGTGGCGTGCAGTTTTTCTTGTGATGGTGGGCTTGGCCATCGTGGCAGCTGGTGAGTATGAAGCGTAACATACATTCTGTTCCAGTATAATTATATTATTGAATTACTGAAGAAACATTTGTATTATCCAACAATGATTCCGGTAGTATGTGATAAGAGCATGAAATAAAACATCTATAAAAATAGTTAAAAACTTCACATTAGGACCAATTCAAACAATAAATAACACATTTTATTAAAGTCTAAATATAAATTTGCTTCACTGCAATAACAAAGGCAAGAACATCAATTCTAAGCCGGCGAAAGTTTTTTTTTCCATAAACTGCATTAGTTAACATATTATTCACGTTTGTAAATCTGACATTCAATATTAATAACTCTTGGAAATATTGGGAATAACACCTGTGTATATCTCTATTATGCATCCTCTCTCTCTCTCTCTCCTCTCTGGTTATGTCTGACTTATTTTTCACAGATTGTTTCCAAGCATCACTTCTTATTTAGATTGTGTTTCCACGTTCTACTTCATATTTAGAATATTATCGTACCATATTTTAAGCTAATAAAGATACTCTAGTGACTATCACTCACTTTGTGCACAAGTGAGATTATATGTGGTATAGTTGTGATGAATGGTTTTGAAAACCGACAAGTTGAAGATTGAGACACTTATGCACCATATGGGAATCTTTATTTAGGAAACGTTTCGCCACACAGTGGCTTCATCAATCCAATACAAAGCAGAGAGGTGCACGAAGAGGAGATTGAGGTAATCAGTCTCTCAGCCTGGAGTCGATGTGTTCAGTCCATCAAGTACATTCTACAAGATTGATGGACTGAACACATCGACTCCAGGCTGAGGGACTGATTACCTCAATCTCCTCCTCTTCTTGCACCTCTCTGCTTTGTATTGGACTGATGAAGCCACTGTGTGGCGAAACGTTTCCTAAATAAAGATTCCCATATGGTGCGTAAGTGTCTCAATCTTCATATGTGGTATAACAAGAAATAATAAACTTTAAGCTAGTGGAAAAACAATAATAGATGTAAGACGTTTAATAAAAGCTGTGAACTTGAAGTTAATTAAGTCTGGCCCGCAGGTCCGCTCTCCCGCCAGGTGGGCATCTCTGACAACATCGCCGTCACCCTCAGGAACAACACCCAAGGTAATACACATTAACTCATACTTAACCACAATTATCTTCTGAATCACCGTGCTTGTGCGCGCTCACCGAGTTGTATTCGCCAAGTTGTGTTTGCGGGGAGGTCAAGACTCAGCTCCTGGCATGACTATTTCTGGTCTCTCTTGGACCTTATCGCATCTGCTCTTGAAGAAGTGTATAAGGTTTGCCTCCACCAATGCCTCATCCAAGTCATTCCACTTTCAACCACCCTAAGGCTACGTCTATGTCTACGACTTTCACCTGAGTTCCCTTGATCCTGGCTCCCTGAATTCAAGCTGTTCTTATCTATCCTATCAATTCCTCTTTAGAATTTGCATATCGCAATCTTGTGATTAATTGTCCTCTCCTCAAAGGTCGTCAGGTTCGGTTCCTTAAATTTTTCCTATAGCGTATTTCTTTTAGTTCCGGTACTAATCTAATTGCAAGCGTTTGGGCTTTTTCGACTTTTACCTGTGTGTGCATGTGGTGTGTAGGTACTCACCTAGTTGAGGTTGTGTGTGTGTGTGCGTGTGTGCGTGTGCGTGTGCGTGTGCGTGTGCGTGTGTGTGTGTGTGTGTGTGTGTGTGTGTGTGTGTACTCACCTAGTTGAGGTTGCGAGGGTCGAGTCCGAGCTCCTGGCCCCGTGTGTTGTGTGTGTGTGTGTGTGTGTGTGTGTGTGTGTGTGGTGTGGTGAAAATGATCTAGAACTTGCCAATATAACTTACTCGGAAATGTTATGGGAAATAAATTGATGTTATTTGTTATATCTCTTAATAGTTACGGGATCACTGCCACTACGGCCCGATTAATACTAGGCCTCCTGAACTGGAAAGTACCATTTACAGGTCTTAAAATTATTAGGAAACTCACAGGAAAGTAAAGTGTATAACGAATGCAGGTAGAAGTTTGTAAGATTTACCTGCCATCTTACATGTTCATAAAATAGAAAGAAAACCCCAAGAGTTCAAAAACGTTTAATAAACTTGTGTGTACACTCGTTTGACAGGATGGTAGTTCCTCATTGAATGGATGCTGTCTACTTACCTTTTAACTACATTAAAATAAGCTTTGCTATGCCTGTGAAAAGCAGTCTGAATATAACAACATTAATATTTAGTAAATCTGAGCACGATTAGGCTTGATTACTAAAGTAATTTTGATGCAGAAAAATCACAAAAAAGAGGGACCGCTAAGGTTAGGAGAGAAAAGTTTCATAGGACTACAATAAAGTAAATTTTAACTTACATACTGGCGGAGTAAAATATTTTTTGAGAAATGCATTTGCATAATTAGCATCTTTCTTAAATGACTTATATTGTATCAAATTATATATGTATTATAATAAGATCAAATTTAAAAATGTACTCATTTCAAATGTATAACTACTATATTTGTATGGCTCTTAAGAAATATATAATAATTTTAATTATTTTTTTTAGTTATGGTTGCATAGGTGCATCATTTGATACCCTTACTGATAGTCTAGTACGTCATGAGGCCATTTAATAGATGAAAGATACGTTTATTCTTTAAAAACTTTCTTATTTTTATGCACGTAATATATGGTGCTTTGTATAGGTAGGTAGGTATTAGGTTTGTCAAGAAACAGGGCAAGTGTTTCCTGAATCGGGACTTTGTCATATGATGGCCCACAGCTGCAGCTTTTGGTCACTTGACAGAGGCCTCACGCTAGCGTACCGGTCCACCTCTTTAAAAATTATAATTATGATGGTGCTTTGCATACTTCATATACTCATTTTCAAATCAAGTGCCCGCAGCCCTTCTAGCGAAGACTATTCAGTATATTCTAGTCATGGTTAGTAATTGTCTTTGACATATTTAATCTAATGTCAAATATTTGAACATTAGTCATTTAGTTTCATAAATAATATTAAGACTCTCCTGTTAATTTGAGGACAGTGAAAACAATTTACAGATAAGTTTAAGGGAAAATACGTACAAGTTTACTGTAAAGTTTCGTGTCAACTCCCCATCGGGTATACACTATTCTAATATTCTATCCCAGAGGAAATCGTTAAATAAAAGTAACTTACATAATTTCCTCAGGCGACGTGTACAGCATGCCTCTCTCCATTTTGGATTTAGCCAAGTGGGGTGACTTCAGTGAGCAGTTTGGAGCACAAAAATGGTTTCCTTAATTACAAAATTTAGTTATGGCTGCACAACTAATGCCACCGTTTTTTATCAGTAAAAATAACAAAATTCGTTTTCTTTAGTCTGTATCCTCGACAAGATAGAGTACGAGGATGGAGAGTATCTACCGACGGCAGATCCTTGTGAAGAGTGTCAGTGCAGGCCGCCGGGGTTTGCTTGCACGGTAATAGGTTGTGAGTACAAGCCTGGCTGTCGAGCCATCCAACGAGATGACAGGTGCTGCCCAGAGTACCGATGTGGTGAGTTAAGCACGCTTCATCTGCACTCTTGTAATGACACTTCGCACCTCCTTTTTGTCAATTACAAATATCGCCTCAAAGTAAAAAAAAGAAATATGCATATATAAATATATATATATATAATATATATATATATATATATATATATATATATATATATATATATATATATATATATATATATATATATATAATTTCAAGTTTTGTCTAATAAGCGCCACTTTATTAATGCACGGATAAGTTTTTGTATTATAGAAAGGATTTGCTGTAATTAATAATTTTGTTATTAGCAACATTATTTCTACTAGCCGAGTTCGCCTTTGAAACTGTATTTAGTGTCACAGATGTCCTTTGAAGGCTTTGATTCCATTATTTGGCTGGATTCAGTAACCACTGACGTCAAGTAAAGTCAATTGTTATAAAATACATGCTTATACAGGTTTCATAAGTATAAAACACTGTCAGCAGTGAAAACTGTAAAGATGGGCACAGCTCTGCTCCTGTAACTACAACAGGTAATTCCAAGTACAAACAGGTATTCTCGAACACATTTTAAACGAGGCAAAAACCTTAGAGGTAAACTACTCAGTATGGAGAACGGATAGAGGAGAAAAGGTGGATTCAATTTTTTTATATAAAAACCAATAAATTACAGAAATTAAATTCCAACATACAAATATTATCGAAATTATAATGGCTAATGTGCAAAATAAAGACAAGAAACTCTTAAGAGTAAATGCAAACAACTCGCATGTATTAAAAACTATTAATGTAAAGTTGAAACAAGAAACACTGTTACTGGAGTACTCAGTTATAAAGAATTACAATGGAGAGACTGGAATGGAAGACAGAGTCAACGCAGGAAAAATCCATTAGACATAAGTGGATAACAACCTCTATTAAAATTATTTTAATTATGGGGAGCGTTAAACCCGTACGATTATACAGCGCATGGGGGAGGGATGGAAGGTATTCAGGCTAAATTCAGGGAACCAGAGCACAGATCCAATTCCCTAGATCAAGAGCCCCTCACCAGCGTCAAGGAACCTCCCGTGAGGGGATAACAACCTCTAGACAGATAGATCATGCTATCAGGTAGTTAGGTTTCAGATCTACAAATTCCTCTATATTTAGTTTATTTAACTGTTAGGTGAATCGCATAAAATATACAGGAAAGAAACTGATGAACATAAGGGATTTACTTTGATTTTAGAAAAAACTTTCGATAAAGTTCTACATGAAAGGCTAATTCGAAAATTACAAAATATTGATAAATAAAAGGAAAACTATTTGCAATGTGTGTATATATATATATATATATATATATATATTATATATATATATATATATATATATATATATTATATATATATCCAAGCTCGTGGCTTGTCTTGCATAGTTAAGATCGCCTGTCTGCGATTGTTTGCATATTTATAGTATATAGAACAACCATTACTACCAAACCACCACTACATCACTTCTGGACTTTCCTCGATTAATGAACCAACTGACCATAGCACTACATCATCAGACCATTTGACTCATCACAAATCAATAGGGTCTACACTGTCACTAAAAACGTAACCAAAGCAACTGTGCATCGGCAACTCGCCACTCTTCCAGCCTTCCTCCCATACCTAGATGGGCTGTGACACACATTCCTTCCCTCAGACTGCCAGAAAGACGGTGTGGTATACCTGACAGGCGAACGAGTGGAAGATCCAAGTAACCCATGTGAGACTTGTTATTGCTCGGGCGGGGAGATCGTGTGTTCTGTGATTCCGTGTGTGTGGAGGGATGACTGTGAAGGCCGCCACACTGCTGGCGTCTGCTGCCCATCCTACGACCATTGTAGTCAAGGTGTGAACACCATTAGTACTAAATTACAACACTCATCACACAAAATATAAACATTAACATATGACATTCAAGAATGAATTTCAGATTCGTTTGCACTTTGTGGAAGACAATATTAATGAACACTTGACGAAAAAATCTAAGATTACCTACATCACAGGCTGTACCTTTATCTTATATAAGTATGTGGGATAAAGCTGCTTTACACATTATTTTTTTTAAATTTCGTGATGTTTGAACAATGATTCAAGGTTACATTAACCAGGATTAATACTGAAACTGTTGTGATAGCTGTGCGGCACTTAATTTGGGTATATTTATGTTAATGAATAATTCAGAAACAATTTTTTTTGTGGTAATTCTATTAAAAAGATGAAAAAAAATATCAAATTATTGATAGTGTTGGCTTTTCCCTCATCCCCCACCAACACACCATAAGCGCTGCTTCATTTTCTCTTATTTCTCTTAATAAAAATGGTTATAACTATGACCATAATTTTTAAAGGTGTGGACCAGTAAGCCAGCGGAAGGTCTCGGACAGATGAGCAAAAGCTCCAACGGCGGGTCATCATCTGACTAAGACCTGCGTCACGAAACACTTGTTCTGTTTCCTGACGAACCTTATCTAACCTAACCTAATCTTATTTGCCTGTTAGTTCATCCCAGGAGTCTTGGCAGTACTAAAGTCAACAGACGTTGAGCTTTCAGACTTTGTTTTCAACACCTATTTAGTACTGGATCCAAACCAGCTTTATCATCATTCAGAAACCAATTAAAAAAAAACTTTACCAAGATACTCATAGTTAAGAGATGAAACAGTAATCCATATGAGTTGTAGTAAGTTGCTTGAAAATTGTGAACCATTGGATGTAAAGGTTTCACAGGAAAAGGCTGAAGCAGTGGATGCCACTCCTGAACATTCCAACTCAAAGTAATGCTACAGATTTCGTGAGGTAAAGAATAATTGCTTCAAAAATAAATGTCTCACTGATTTCACCCCCAAAGAAAAATGCTAAAAACCTTTATTTAATCTGGTTACTAACCAGAAACCCCTCAAGGAAGGTTTCTTGATGCTGGTGCGAGGCTCCTGATCTAGGGAATTGGATCTGTGCTCCAGTTCTCTGAATTAAACCTGAATACCTTCCACATCCCCCCACAGACGCTGTATAATCCTACGGGTTTAGCACTTCCCTTCGATTATAACAATAATAATAATAATAATCAGAAACAAAACTTAATGGCTTCAATATGACCGACTTCCGGTTTGGTGAAGTCACGCGAAAATCTATAATTTTTAGTAATCATGAGCGTCGATAATTTATGTAAAATTATTGTATATATATAAGTATTTATTCGATATCCTTATTTGCATATTTCTAACCGGTTTTGAGGCTTTAAAATAATTAAAATAAGACACAAAACTATCTAGATTCAGAATGTAGGTAGAAAAAAAAATTGCATTACTAAGAAATTTTGAAATGTTGGAATGAGGAAGGGAAGCGGTGGATAGAGGTTATATAAAGCCCCGAGCTTGAACCATTTACATCACTGTTATCAACATCTTACCAAGGGTCATTAAGTCCTCACATCTCCCACTGAAACTTAAATTACGGCCGAGAGAGAGAAAGCCCAGCGACCACAGCTTCTCAGCACCCAGCCTCCGCCACTCTCCAGCTCTTCACTTTATAAATTATCTCGCTAATAAAATTAAACACAAATTTTAATGTAAAAATATTTACTTTACAGTTTTTTTACATATATACATTTTGAATCTAGGTAATTTTCCATCTTATTTTTACTATTACTAAACCTCGACAAAATCAGGTAAATATTACTAGACATATACAAAAATAAACAACATTTTTATAAAATAAAGCTTTTTTTTTTAATAAACAGCGTACTCCATCATTCCTGTGTACTTTTAACTATCGGTCATATACATTTCAAAACAATCTTGGGGATTATATTACTTATACATTTTATATATTAATACAACCTTACAATAGTCATGTATGACACGTGGTACTGGCATGCTCATCTTTAACCTAGTGATGCAAACACTCAGCTGACATGTAGTACTGGGATGTTTATCTTCAAGATAGTGATGTAAACACTCAGCTGACATGTAGTACTGGGATGTTTATCTTCAAGATAGTGATGTAAACACTCAGCTGACATGTAGTACTGGGATGTTTATCTTTAAGATAGTGATGTAAACACAGCTGACATGTAGTACTGGGATGTTTATCTTCAAGATAGTGATGTAAACACTCAGCTGACATGTAGTACTGGGATGTTTATCTTCAAGATAGTGATGTAAACACAGCTGACATGTAGTACTGGGATGTTTATCTTCAAGATAGTGATGTAAACACTCAGCTGACATGTAGTACTGGGATGTTTATCTTTAAGATAGTGATGTAAACACAGCTGACATGTAGTACTGGGATGTTTATCTTCAAGATAGTGATGTAAACACACAGCTGACATGTAGTACTGGGATGTTTATCTTCAAGATAGTGATGTAAACACAGCTGACATGTAGTACTGGGATGTTTATCTTCAAGATAGTGATGCTAACATTCAGTTGACATGTGGTACTGGGACGTTTATCTTCAAAATAGTGATGCAAACACAGCTGACATGTAGTACTGGGATGTTTATCTTCAAGATAGTGATGTAAACACAGCTGACATGTAGTACTGGGATGTTTATCTTCAAGATAGTGATGCTAACATTCAGTTGACATGTGAAACTGGGACGTTTATCTTCAAAATAGTGATGCAAACACAGCTGACATGTAGTACTGGGACTATATCTTCAAGATAACGATGCACTCAGCTGACAGATGGTACTGGGACGTTTATTTTCAACATAATGTAGCAAATAGTCATTTTTTTCACTCTTATATACGTGTTTCTGAAATGTTCCTCGATATGTTAGTCTGTCGGGATATTTAATGAACCATTTATTACTCTGTTACAAATCCGACAAATTTCATTTCACTGATTGTAAAACTAATTAGATATCTAATGACTTGTTTCTTCTTTCAGATTCCCCAACTGAAGACGCAAACCCAGACACACAACCACCAACTGAGGCTCAAGAAGCAAGCACTGAACATCAACCCGAAGCTCAAGAAGCAATCACCGAACATCAACCCGAAGCTCAAGAAGCAAGCACAGATAAACCTGAAGCTCAAGAAGCAAGCACAGATAAACCTGAAGCTCAAGAAGCAAGCACAGATAAACCTGAAGCTCAAGAAGCAAGCACAGATAAACCTGAAGCTCAAGAAGCAAGAACCGAATATCAATCCGAAGCTTTAGAAGCAAGCACAGATAAACCTGAAGCTCTAGAATCAAGCACTGAACATCATCCTGAAGCTCAAGAAGCAAACACAGAACAACCTGAAGCTCGAGAAGCAAACACAGATCAGCCTGAAGCTCAGGAAGCAAGCACAGGTAAACCTGAAGCTCAGGAAGCAAGCACAGGTGAGCCTGAAGCTCAAGAAGCAAGCACAGGTGAACCTGAAGCTCAGGAAGCAAGCACAGGTGAACCTGAAGCTCAGGAAGCAAGCACAGGTGAACCTGAAGCTCAAGAAGCAAGCACAGGTGAACCTGAAGCTCAGGAAGCAAGCACAGGTGAACCTGAAGCTCAAGAAGCAAGCACAGGTGAACCTGAAGCTCAAGAAGCAAGTACAGGTGAACCTGAAGCTCAGGAAGCAAGCACAGGTGAACCTGAAGCTCAGGAAGCAAGCACAGGTGAACCTGAAGCTCAGGAAGCAAGCACAGGTGAACCTGAAGCTCAGGAAGCAAGCACAGGTGAACCTGAAGCTCAAGAAGCAAGCACAGGTGAACCTGAAGCTCAAGAAGCAAGCACAGGTGAACCTGAAGCTCAGGAAGCAAGCACAGGTGAACCTGAAGCTCAGGAAGCAAGCACAGGTGAACCTGAAGCTCAGGAAGCAAGCACAGGTGAACCTGAAGCTCAAGAAGCAAGCACAGGTGAACCTGAAGCTCAGGAAGCAAGCACAGGTGAACCTGAAGCTCAGGAAGCAAACACAGAACTTCCAACTAAGGGTCGACATGAGACAGATCTTCTAACTGAAGAAGCAGAGACACACTCTCTACCTGAAGCTGTAGAAGCAAATAGAGAAACTCTATCCGAAGCTCTACAAGCAGTTACACAATCTCCAGTTGAAGCTGTAGAAACAGACACAGAAATTCTTCCTGAAGCGTCCGTTGCTGAGACAGGGTCATCTACTATTACTACGGGGCCTGCAACAGCCAATAATTCTTCGCTGCCCGAAAATACATTAGATGCCGATACTGCAGCCTCCGAGGACGCAGTGGTTAGAGTTGCGGTGCCTGAAGCTCTTGTTTCATTAAATACCAAATCCGAGAGTGTTTCCTTAACTGACGAGCAAACCACTGAAGAAGCACCAGTGGTTGAAGCCACTGTTGAAGACACGAAAGCACCAAGTGTAGCTGAAAGTGTACAAACTAATGTGGAAGCTATTGAAGCTGCGACTAGTATACCTGAAGAAAGGGAAGCTGTAACTAGTGCACCTGTACATGAAGAAGCTAATAAAGCTGAGACTGATGCACCTATAGATGAAGCTAATGAAGCTGTTACTGGTGCACCTGTAGATGAAGCTAATGAAGCCGTTACTGGTGCACCTGTAGATGGTGAAGCTAATGAAGCTGTTACTGGTGCACCTGTAGATGAAGCTAATGAATCTGTTACTGATGCACGTGTAGACGTGGAAGCTAATCAAGCTGTGACTGATGCCTCTGCAGATGGAGAAGGTAACGAAGGTGTTGTGGCAGAAGCGGAAACATTGGTGGTAAAGTCTGAAGAGTCACAGGATGTCAAAGAAAATGTACAACCCAGTCCAATTAATGTAAGTGATGTAAGAGACACACAAACACTGCCAGAAAGTGTTGATTCTCAGTCTGAAAATAAACAAACTGAAGACATAGAAATAACAACGAGCTCCTTAATAACGCCTGATGAAGGCAAACTTGTCAGTAGAAAAGCTGGGTCAGTACAGGTCAGCATTAATGGAGAGGCGTTCCATAACCTCGCCGCGATTCAAGAAGCACTCCCAGTAAAGGAAGACGGCGACTTCACTGATACATCTAAACAAATATCAAATCAAGATGGAGACACAGTTGAAAAGGAATTAGAGAAAGTGGCAGAGAAATATGGGCTAAGGCCTGTGGAACAGCACTCTTTGTCTGATACTGCCGCTCATACAGAAGATAAAGGAAAACAAAGTCTTGCAGATCGTGTCGCACGTCTTGTTCGCAGTTTTCTTTAAAAGTTCAACTACATTAAAATGATATTTTTTTATCATTGCTAAACATGAGTAAAATGCAGAGGTATATTTTGATTCGTTAAAAAATCCTTCAAAATTAGTTTTAAAATTAAAAAAAAAATGTCTAATTGAAGATTGTATAGAAGTTCATGAAAGCAGTAGAGTGAGCAAGATTTAAAAGATATTAATACGTCCTACAAATTTGCTGAAAATACATATAAAACGTAAAATGTTAAAACATAAATGTTCGTATCACTGTATACACGATGCTACTTTATTTTATAGTAAGAGCTTAAAACCACACCCGGGTTTCCGGATACACATGGAGATTTAAGACACTGATGTACACAATGATCCACGGATCTCCGGGGTACATTGGCCAGGGCATTGTTGCAGAGCTTGTGTTAGGAATCTGGGTTCACCTGGCTTACACCACTCCAGTTCAGTATTGAGGCATACATATGAAGGTCATGAAATGCAAGTAAACGAGCTTGTTCAGTTTATGGCGACAGTTTAACCCGGATAGCTCAACACTGATGCCGAGCAAGTGTTGATTACATTTTATTTCCCGAATATTAATAACCTGTCCAAGTCACCTGTATATAACATAGTTTCACACCTGTTGTGTGTAAGCCAAGATGGTGAAATATCCCAGTGATTTTTCATTATAACTGTTTTCCTATTTATTACAATCATTAGCATTATGTGTACTTTGCGTCCTTCGCGAATGCGCATATACCGGAATAACAAGACTCAACGGACAAAATATGTATTGTTCTCATGTATTTATCCTCCATTAGTGACTGCTGAATGGCATGATTTTCATGTTCTCAGTTCACTTGATCCTATATTTGGATTTTCGCTACATTAATAAAAGTTCAATGAAAATATGACCAGTTAAATTCCGGTATATACGCAATATAGCATTAAGGTTGGTTTCTTGTAATATTCAATATTAAATTTTATTCCAAGTGATTATAAACTGTTTTTTGCCCTTGACGAATCTTATATTCTATGCTCAGATGACTGTATTTAAAATTAAGTTTATTGTTGTCTCCAATTTGTAAACATTTACTTTTGCTCTCAGGCATAACAATGAATGTCTTATGTGTGCCAACCAATTTAAACAAATAAATTATTTATTAAAATCTTTTATTTATTAATATAAATTGGTTTCCTCCAGTTTCATACATATAAATCCTCTAGCAATGTATATATAATATAAACATTCATTGTACAGTTGGGGAAATTACTTCTACTCTCTTTCCTGGGCAAAAATAATATCAGGTAACTGAGGGGTTGTAAACAGAGTAAAAACTATTTTAAAGAATGAATTAGTGCAGCTGATGATGGTGACTGGATGACAAAATTAATTGTCTGTACTGTGTATCTATATAATATAAAAGTATAATATAAAGTTACAATGACTAGGAATCGAACACCCTATAATTTAACTCGCCACCCGAGTAGCACGTCATTAAAATATCTTGGATGCATTAAAATATCTTGCTTGTGTGACTGGTATTCCAAACGGGAGCAGAATGAAATTAGTCCTGTAGCTTGCCACAGCCATGTATGTGTCCGCATCAGGAGTGACATGTCCAGTGCGCAACTGGACACCTTATGTATGTGACATTGATGGCTCAGTGGTCTACGGCCTCTCAGAATTCTGACATGCTACTCTGGTGGCGAGTTAAAGTATAGGGAGTTCGATTCTCGGCCAGTGCAGTTTGTTATTTGCTAAAAACCACTTGTTCGTGGATGAATATATATATATATATATATATATATATATATATATATATATATATATATATATATATATATATATATATAGGGAGGTACCACCTCTGGAGCCGTCCTGGGGGCCCTCATCCTCAGAGAAAAGAATAAACTTGCTTCAGGGAAAACTCAAGGTTCTCCCTGAAGCTGTTTGAAAATTGTTTTCTCCTAACACCCCCTATATTTTATATATACTTTATTTAAAGACAAAATACACTGACAAAATACACTAGCTAAAATACAATAGGGAGTAAAACGACTTAGATAACTCAGAGCTACATCTCGAATACTTCGTCCAGCTCCCCGGCGGTGGGCCGCGTGCCCAGAATGCTGCAGGCATTTCCACTCTGGATCGCAACACTGAGTCTCTGAAAGAGGAAGCTGGCCGCCCTGTGGTCCTTGGTTTCTATGATGAGTTTTCCACCCAACTCTGAGGAACTTTAAAGCACCCTTGCCCCATGCTCCATGGGTCTCTGACCCTATTGGGATGAAGTTATAGCAAGGGGGAAGGTCTTTATATCTGCGGGTCTTCTGGGTCTCCCTGTGGCTGGCAGCTCCACCCCCTTCAGCTAAGGAGTATGTCAAGTAGGTGTCTGCCAATGTGGCGGCACAGGTGTAGTCCCAGGCAATCTGCTTTCCATCCTTCCAGGGTAGCATAGTGGCCCCATCAGGACGCTTTTGACTTCCATCAGACCTCTGCACTTGGGATTCCCGTTGGGCTGGGCAGCGGGCTGTGGCGAGGATTCTCTTTATGATGTCATTGACTTCATGCCTGGCGTACTTCCCTTCTGATGTATGACACATGAGATCATGAAGTCCGAATTGATCAGCCGTCGCCCTGCCGCAAATACACCTATGTTCGATGTGGGTGGGGGCGGCTAGGCGAAGAGCAACACCAATCCGAATGATCTGTGGGTCGAGTCGAGTGCTCAGGGAGAAATTGGGAACAGCAAGAAGGAAATCTCCTGAGTGTGGTGCCTTCACCGCTAGAAGACGAGCTTCCAGTGCATTAGTCAAGAAGATAGTGCCCGAACGCTTGAGAGATGTGGTAGGAGCTCAAGACCCCAGGTTTACTGAAGCAGCAATTCGGTGGGACACCCTTACAGACTCCTCCAGTAGACCAGCTCCCCCCAAACAGCACAAACAGTCCCACTGGGACAAACCGATCATGGAAAAAATCGCCAACACAATGCTCTCCAATGCTTCAGGAAAGAACAAAGCTCATCTCCTGGCAGTGAAGGCACCACACTCAGGAGATTTCCTGTTAGCTGTTCCAAATTCCTCCCTGGGCACCCGTCTCGACCCACAGGCCATTCGGATTGGTGTTGCTCTTCGCCTAGCCGCCCCCATCCTCACCGAACATAGGTGTATTTGCGGCAGAGCGACAGCTGATCAATTCGGACTTCATGGTCTCGTGTGTCACACAGCAGAAGGGAAGTATGCCAGACATGAGGAGGTCAATGATATAATAAAGAGAAGCGTCGCCACAGCCCGTTGCCCAGCTCAACGGGAACCCCAAGTACAGAGGGCTGATGGAAGTCAAAAGCGTCCTGATGGAGCCACTATGCTACCCTGGAAGGATGGAAAGCAGATTGCCTGGGACTACACCTGTGCTGCCACATTGGCAGACACCTACTTGCCATACTCTGTAGTGGAAGGGGGTGGAGTTGCCAGCCACAGGGAGACCCAGAAGATCCGAAAATATGAAGACCTTCCCCCTTGCTATAACTTCATTCCAATAGGGTCGGAGACCCTTGGAGCATGGGGCAAGTGTGCTCTAAAGTTCCTCAAAGTGCGAGGTGAAAAGCTCATCATAGAAACCAAGGACCACAGGGCGACCAGCTTCCTCTTTCAGAGACTCAGTGTTGCGATCCAGAGAGGAAATGCTTGCAGCATTCTGGGCACGCGGCCCACCGCAGGGGAGCTGGACGAAGTATTCGAGATGTAGCTCTGAGTTACCTATGTTGTTTTACTTTCTGTTATATATATATATATATATATATTATATATATATATATATATATATATATATATATATATATGCAAAACAACCACTCTGAAAGAATAGAAATCACCTGTTTACAGTGTCTTATTGCATATATATATATATATATATATATATATATATATATATATATATATATATATATATATATTATATATATATATATATATATATATATAAAACAATGCACCACACAGAAACAAGCACAGGAATATACTGAGAAAGATTGCAGTCAGTAGGATTCAAAAACCATGTCAGGGAGGCAAATTTCCCCAAGTGACGTAAACCAACCATTATGAGGCTTAATTCAGGGAACTGGAGCACAGATCCAATTCCCTAGATCAAGAGCCCCTCACCAGCGTCAAGGAGCCTTCCTTGAGGGGCCTCTACAATGTAAATTTAAATTTCTTGTCAACGCGCTGAATTAGAACACGAAGGAAAGGCAGTTTATTATCTACTTCGTACTAAATCATTAAGTCTAGGAACTCATCAACATTGCAGTCTCTAAGCCAAAGATACAGAACATCGTCTACGTATCTGAACCATTGGGCTTTGCTAAGGAGAATATATTTAAGGATTCTGGTCTGTAGAATTCCATATACAAGTTGCTGAGCAATTGACTAAGCGGATTTCCTGTGAGGGGAGGCCTGAAGCCGACGAGAGGGGGTAGGAAGCCAACGTGAAGGGGCCCCGGAGCCGACGTGAGGGGGAGCCTGGGGCCGACGTGATGGGGGACCTGAAGCCGACGTGAGGAGTCTGAAGCCAAAATGAGGTGGGGGCCCCTGGAGCCGACTTGAGGGGCTGGAGCCCACGTGAGTGAGCCTGGAGCCGATGTGTGAGCCTGAAGCTGACATGAAGAGCCTGGAGCTGTGAGGGGGATGCCATGACCCGTCGCGAGGGAGCCTGGAGCCGACGTGAGTGAGCTTGTAGCCGATGTGAAGGAACCTGGAGCTGTGAGGGAAGCCTTGACCCGTCACGAGGGAGCCTGGAGCCGACGTGAAAGAACCTGGAGCTGGAGTGAGGGAACCTGGAGCCAGCATGAGGGAACCTGGAACAGGCGTGAGGGGAACATGGAACTGTAGAGTGTATACTCTAGGGTCTAGTGTCTCGAGTGTAGGGTGTATAGTCTAGAGCAGGGGTGGTCAACCTTTTGTATTCCATGTGCCAATTTCTTCACGCTCTAGTCCAGTTCTTTAGAAATGTTAATATGGACATATTTTGCGTTTTTACATAAAATGTTTTAATATAAAGGCAAGATAAACATGCTTTGGTTATTTTATTATTATTATTAAAGATTCGCCGGTATTCTCCCGGCCCGGGGCTTTTCCAAGTGGTGGCCCGGCCTTGGCTCCCATGGGAGGAGGCACAAGTACCTCCTCATCTTCGGAACCAACTGTCCCCAGGCCTAGCCACAAGCTAGGCCTCTCTGGTCTGCCATCCCCGCCCCAAGGGGCCTATGGGAAAGACAGTCTTGTGAGCTGCAAGCTCTGGCTCAGGCACCTACCCTACCCTAGAAGGGCTAGGCATGGCGTCGATCCATGCTTTGATTTTTTTTTTTATTCGCCGGTATTCTCCCGGCCCGGGTCTTTTCCAAGTAGTGGTGACTCGGCCTTGGCTCCCTATCTGGGGAGTATCTAGAGACCTAAGTCTCCCATGGGAGGAGGTACAAGTACCCCCTCATCTTTGGGACCAAGTGTCCCCAGGCCTAGCCACAGTCCCCGCCCTCACGGGGCTCGTAGGGAGAAGCTAGGCCTCTGGTCTGCCATTTACCCCGCCCCAAAGGGGCTCGTGGGGATGGCAGTCTTGTGAGCTGCAGGTGGTAGCAAGCTCAAACCTTTGTTGTGCTTTGATTTCGCCAAAGATGTGCACGAAATAATAAAATCACTTAAAAATGATTGCTAGGTTTTAAAATTTAAATTTATTCTCAGAAAAACTCATTTCTAGCTGTAAGTTACTTGAATTTCTGTTATAATTTTTTTCCACAAACCAGTTATTGGTTAAAACGTTTTATATGAGTAGTAGGCTTGCTTTTTTAATCATTATCACTGGGGTGCGATGAACTACTTCTAATCATGCAATGCGTCACTTGTTTGGCGCATGCGCCATAGACTGGCCATCCCAGGTCTAGTGTCGAGACTCTAGAGCAGTGGTTCCCAAACTTTTTCAGCTTGTTACCCAATTTAACAT